ATCTCACACGCTACTGAATAGCTATTCTGCCGTATCAATTTCGATCAGAGTATTCGTTGTTAGTTTATTATGAAAATTTCTTAGATTTAATTACTTTCTTACTAAACTGATACTTTTTCCAACGTTACACATAGAACATAATCATCTTTCATTTAATAAGTTATTCACAGCTCCGTGACATTTTAAAATTTGCTCGACGGATGAATTCTTCTTTCAGCGAATGTATTCTGAGAGCACGAGCGTCCAAAGATAATGATATCCATTACTTTAAATTTTTACAATCATCAATAACACGATTGGATTAGCTCGTTATCGCGCTGTCTTGTGTTGATTATAAAATGTTCCAAACCTATTTGATTTAATATTTTTTTCTCATACAAAATAATCGTTGTTTGCAAAATGTTAGTCTAAAATTTATGACAATAATCTGTAACATGAATCACAAGACATTTTAAAATATTCTATGTAGAGTCGTTCTAAATAAATTTATTTACTGATAAAAAGTTCATTCTAAACTTATTACGTTAATATAGTTATATTTTACTCTGAAAATTGGTTGACAGACTCACTGAAAGTATTGTTATGGTTTCATAGCATCTAATAGATTCATTAACAGGAAAGCCTAACATTTATTTCATTAATGATATTGACACGAAATTGCTGATGTATGTAACGCATCAAAGTAAAATTTGTTTTTTAGCCACGTGTCTTTTACTTTCACTTTAATTTATATAATCGTTTGATCACCTACGTCTCGTGTTACTTGCAGTCTAATATCTGATTTAATGATTGGTACTTCATTCATTTTATGACCCATGATGATATATACTTTAGTGCAAAATTCAAGTATTGATTTTGTGGAACTCACATATATTTTCGAAGAAAATGGTGAGTGTAAGTTTAAAGGCGAGATTTTCGCGGTTCCCCACACCCCCCCATCATTACAGACATTAATGAGTTTAAAATTGTACTAATTAGCAGCTTTACTAATTAGGCTGCTATTTCTTCCTTTTTTGATTAGAGACTACACGAAAAAAGCAATGTTTGCCCATTACAGATCATAGTAACTAGCTTAGGGTACCATTACAGACCATAGTAACTAGCTTAGGGTACCATTACAGACCATAGTAACTAGCTTAGGGTACCATTACAGACCATAGAAACCAGTCTCTGCCCTTGTTAAATATACGAGCTAACAATTAATACTCAATTACAGACATACGTGCAAATAGGCAATGATCTAATTATAGGTTGTGGAAATCAGGGTAGATTTTTCAGATGAATTATTTTGATTTATTTTAGTAAGCCGAAGGGATATATGTGAGTTCCACATTTTAGCCCCGAAGGGGCTGCGCTAATAAGCCTTTTTGCTTAATCTTCGAGAGGGTCATTCTTTGTGACAAAAATATAATTCAAATAATTACGTCTGGATTAAAATCTTTGATTGAACTAGTTCATAAATTATTAAAAAATGAAAATATAAATTCAAGTACCAAATATCAAAGATCAGCTACTACTTCAGCCACAGATGATTCTACTTTATTGACTGATATGAAAGAAGTTATTTCAAGTATCATAATAGCTGTGCATAAATGACATCTGATTTTTTCCAATCATTATAAACTATTCATCGCTTTGTGTTTTTTCCTTAGCTCTCTCCTATTTTACGTTATATTTAGTCGTGTCTCACTAACCACTTTTTCTTTGCACAGACCAACGTCCTTTGTATATAACCTATTAGCAAGAATGACAGATATTACAAAAATGAATGTAACTTTTTGAAATTATGAAAAAAAAATTTCCTATACATCAGCTAAAGAAATAAAATTAGAGAAATCCGATCAATCGGCATATTATATACCAACACAATCCAGTATTCAACAAATTTTGTATAAACCTGATGCTTTAACTACGTTAATTAAGAATATCAATAGAAATGTTAATCATAATGCTATTGATACAGATCTCATGTTCAATAATCGCCATGCATTGTTATTTCAGTTATATATTGATGATATAGAATTAACAAATCCAATAGGTGGTAAGAAAGACACTCAAAAGATCGCAGTGATATAATCTCAATTGGAAGATTTGTTAGATCAATGTTAAGTTCAATAAGACATATTGCAATGTGTCATTCGAGTTATTTATGTAATAAGTTAAATAGAAAAAATTCTTCGATCCAATAATTGAAGACCGTAATGCTCTACAATCAACTGAAAATTTTATTCCAACTCTTGGTTATCGTAATTCACCTGTCTATCTGTCTGTCTGTCTGTCTGTAACAATGGCACAAAAGACCAATTTTGTGGTCCGAATAACTAATTCTCATGGTACAAATGATCATTTTTATGGCACAAATGGCATTGTTACGGCATAAACCTTGGGTGGATGCATGGCATGGTCACGTGAAACAGTTCGCTCTGAAGATGGGGTCAGTGGAGGGACGAGCTGATCACTCTATGGAACTTTGAGCTAACCACTACGAAATTTCTGAACCATATATTTTTGTGGCTAGGTAAGACTCAGTCTCTCCCCCGTCTTAAGGGCCTTTGAGTCTCATTCTTTCCGTCTTTCGTCTTCACTTTCAGTACTTTTACTTGAAACTTTTAATTCTTGTCGAATTCTTACTTCAACTCCACTTATTCCCACTCCCTTTACAGGTCTGTTTGAAAGTATCATTACCAGCGGCTGGCACAAACAACTGATTTTCTGTCCTGTTCATGCATTTGTTCTCCTCAGCACTGTCACTCTAGGGCCCAGTGAATCGACTTTCGATGTCGATGAACGCTATTTATTGTTTTCACTTTAAAAAAATGGCTATTAGTATGCTTACAAGGATGAAACATTATGAAAAAATCGTTTGAATATTGATATACATGGAATTAAATTGAATTGAAAATATGTATGAAGAGCACTTTTTAAGATGCTATGATAATATTGGAAATACGAAAATATTGACAAATATCAAAAACACTCAAAAGTTATATTTAAACTGATTCGATTGATTATACAAGAATGCCAAGCGAGTATTCCAATCAGTTAATTTCCATTGATATTAATAATTCATTTAAACAGTCACAACTATGAAGTCTTTGTCATAATACTGTTCTTATTTATAATTATTTTCTTTTGAAGTTAAAGCAAATTTCTACTTGGTTGGCTGTATTGTGCATGAGATTTCATACTGTTGCTAACATGTGTTAACATAGTAATACTCTGTTTACTCTCCAGAGTCGAATAGAAATGCAATGAAATCTTATATATTCAGTCGTTATTTGAATGTGGACTCTTTTAACTTTCTTACACGATGCAGAAACGAAGATCAATTTGTATATTTCGTTAAAAATGAATTTTATTGAGCTACAATAAATTGTTTTATCGTCTTGCCACAATTATGTGTATGTTATTTTCATGAATATTTCATTGTTGCTATGCACAGCCGTTTTTAACTGAATAAATATTTAAAAAAAACTTTTCAAAAACAGCAGGAGGAAAAAAGACGCCGAGCAGACAGAAATGGAGCACAAATTGTGGTCAGATCGGGACTGTAAGAAAAAGTCTGTTTGAAAACAAGTAACAAACAGTAGAAATCACAGATGCCTGATTCCCAAAATGTTTGCACAATTTTCGTTTTGAATGTATTTAACAGAAGGTTAGTGTTAGAATTTGGATTTTTTAGTTAGAAATTATGTCATGAAAAGCTCTCCCAACTTTGTATAACTGTATTTTCTATTGCTGCTTTTCTGTTTTTAAAATGAGTAATAGCAACATCATCTAGATTTTCAATAAGGACCACCTTTTAAATTTAAAGAAAATTTGATTTTTTTCTTCAGTTTTGTTGAAAAAACTCGAAAAACTAAATCAAAACGTCGCTATTCATGCATTGAGAAAACAGACAGATATCGGAGAAACTAATATAAAAATTAAGGATAATGGAGTAAATAAAATAGATAGACATAGACGACAATATCACCTACAGTTGCCAATAGGCATTTTGCTTTGTAGGTTTTGTAGAGATTTCACAGGCGTTTTTTTAACAAGAAACGCAAGATTTTATCACTAAATTGTCCTGAGATTTATGTAAACTACAGTGTGCTAAGATTTACAAACATTTGTCAATTCCAGCCACAAACAACAATTTTGAAATTATCTAGAACGGTTTGATTTCAATTATTTAACCACAGTAAGTAATTTGTATGAGGAAGTTTCAAAAATTAATGTGAGTATATATCTATAATAAATCATGGTCATCAAATATTCAATGAGATTCAGTGTGGTACTATGTTAGATTAAGAATATTTCTTTTCTCATTTAAGGAAGTACCCCAGCTGATAAATACAGTTTCGTTTACAACTGAAAGAAGCACGTGAAGTTTTCTTAAGATGGAGTAGTTACGATAACAAACAGGATCAATGCGGTTCTTTTAGGTCCTCAAAATATCTTATTATCTGGCGTAGAAAAATGCATTGTCTTTTTAAACGTATGTTAGTTGTATTGAATAATTTTCAGAGAATTCACAAATAAAATTCTAACATTAGTAGAAACTCTTTTAAACTAGAACAACTTCTGCAGTATTATTGTTAGTTACTAAAAATAAAAGAATATCGTTTTTGTAATCTAAATTAAAGTATTATTTGGAAATCAAACGGATCGATTAGTATTAGTCTGAAAAATATTAGAGATCATACTATGCAATCAGTTAGAATATGTTCATTCTGTAACCTATGTAAATCGAACAAGGTTCTAACAAACTACAAATCTATCTATGTAGCACCAATACAAAATCACGACAAGGTTTAGTTCGACGACAGGCTTCCAAGTACAGAAAGTTTCTCACGGTTATGTAGTCATTTCTAGCAAAATTTAGTCATCGTATCTATCTAGGTGAATAGTATATTCGGATTTAGGGAAGAAAATTTCACTGCTCTGTATATAATTCAAAGGGGGAAAACCCGGATTCCGCCTATTAGGGATACGGTAGCGATCCACCCGATCTGTAGGAGACAAGTTCGCTCGATCGAAAAAATTCAAAATGTATAGGATAGATGTAATAAGAGTACAAGGAGTGGACGCTGGTGAAAAATTTTCATTCGATTCCATAGAGTTCTTAATTTTACTTTGTCATTTATTTCTGCCGTGAGCACATTGGTTTATAGAGTGAAATGGATTTAATGTAAGAGAAATAGCAATGCTATCTGCACAGTCCCAGCTAAATCTAATTGTTTACTATTCATTCAATCTGTGCAAAATATTTCACGGAGCCAATATGTATATAAATAAGTCGTACCACATCAGTAAAGACTGAACTTGTTTTCAATCGAAACTGTTTGACTTTCCTCACTTTAACATATGCGTAGAAAACTAATTTTAACGATGATGGTAGAAAAGTTTTGAAAAAATATCATTCCGTTATTAAGGTGTTCTCATTTTTGAGAACCTAATTGCAAAATGCTACTCATTTTGTGATTATGCCTACATCCAGTTAACTCGAGATGTTTCACATACAGTGAAACCTCTCCATAGTGGACACCTTTCGGACTTTCCAAAAGTGTCCACTATACAGAGGTGTCCACTTTAGAGAGGGTAAGTCTCTTCTTTTAATATTTCGATGGAACACGGGCTTTTGAATGAGCACAGTACTATGAGTAAGATAATCAAATTTACTACACTTATCGATCTTTCGTTCAGTAATTTATTTTCACAAACAAAAAACAACAAAAATAGAAAAATCAGCAATGAGAAAAATAGTCTGGAGTAGAACTTTGCTTAACCGCTTTTGAATCAAGATAAATATCAGTTAAGTGCGATTCTAGATCAGATATAAGATTGTGTAACTGAGGTTGTTCGATAGAAGAAAAAAGATGAAGTTTTCTCATCATTTCGGGTGCCTCAGATAAATTTGGTGGTTGTTCTAATAAAGCTTCTTCTTCTTCTTCTTCTTCGTTATCATCTTGAGTAACTTGGATGTAAGTTTTAAGATGTTCAGAATCGTTCCATTCGTTAAATGTTGGAATACAGGAATCAATGCCTACAAACTCGACAGCTGTTAACTGTGAACCACCAATACGAAGATGAACTAATAACGAATGAAGTTGTTATAAAGGATTATCAGAATTGTTTGATTCTATATATTAGTTTCAACAATAATATCCATATTCATCATAGACGATGAAGGCGTAGAAAAATAATGAATAAAACCAGCAGCACGAAAACCATTTGTAATTGTATTTTCCGTAACATTTTTCCATGATAAATCAATCCATTTATTTGCATCTAAGACAGTAATTGATATTTGATCAGCAGTTTGAGCTTGAGTACATTGAGCACTTATATGTTTAACTAATTTTTGTCTATAATAACATTTAAACGAATGAATAACACCTTGATCAAGTGGTTGGCACTTGGACGTGGCATTTCGAGGAAAGAAGACAATTTTGATATTTGATAAATCATGATTAATTACGTGACATGGAGCATTGTCGATGAAAAGAAGCATTTTTCGATTCTTTTTTCTCATTTGATTGTTAATGGCGATGAGCCAGTCAGTAAATAAGTTACAGGTCATCCAAGCAGTTCGATTTGACAGCCAGGTGACAGGTAACTTCGACATAGTAATATTTTTGAAGCAACGAGGACGTTGACTTTTGCCTAAAATAAAATAAAAACTATATGAATTATTGATTAATTTATGAATATACTCTTACCGATTAGCACTGGTTTTAATTTCTCTGTCCCAGTCAAATTCAAACAAAGTAAAATTGCGAGTCTTTCTTTGCTCTTATTCCCACCTTTACATTCTTCCTTGGATAAGGCCAATGCGCGATCAGGTGTTGCACGATAAAATAAACCCGTTTCATCTGCATTGAAAATATCGTTTTCATCAAATCCATCAAGTATTGTTGAAAGTCACTGTGTCCATTCCTCGACTGTGGAATTATCCACTGAAGCACTTTCGCCATTAATTGTTCGAAATGAAATAGCGTGACGATTGCGGAACTTTTCAAGCCAACCGTTTGATGCTTTAAATGTTTCTGACGTATAACCTAATTCTTCAGCAACTTGCCTAACTTTTTCTTGTAAAATGGGGCCAGAAATAGGAATTTGTTTAGCACGTTGTTGAGTGAATCATTCGAAGACAAGTTCATCGATTTTGTGTCTATTTTCGTCCTTGAATTTGCGTTTAATACCTCTATTACAATTCGAAGAATAATCAGCTAAAAGTTCTTCACTTCGACGAAGAATATTGGCAGCACTACTTTTTGATATTTTATAATTATCAGCCAGTTCGCGAACTGACAAAATCATGAGCATTTTGCTTATCCTTGATTAAAGCAATTTTTCCTTCCAAAGTTAATGCTTTTCGATGAGACATTATGCTCCTTTTTCTTTCTCGACAGTCAGAAATAAGACAAATAAAGCAATGTCACTATTGTTTTCTTTTTACTTTTCATCGATTCAACCAGACCGATGATTCTTTTTTCTGTCTTTTATGTGTCATCAAAGAATATCAATGATATAGTATGTGTTTGATCGTATTCATCAAAGAAAGTTTTATTAATTTAAATCAATGCCCACTATAGAGAGGTATTTGACATGAAAGGGACTGAAAAGAAAGTGTCCACTATGTAGAGGTTTAAATCCAGCAAAAAAAGCTCCGTCGAACCTCAAAGTGTCCACTATAAGGAGGTGTCCACTATAGAGGAGTGTCCACTAATGGAGGTTTTACTGTATTATATCAAGTTAAAGCATATAAACAATGAGCAGCTCAAGCAAAACGAATCTGTTTTCACTTGAATATGTGTATAATAAAAGACCAAACAAATGTACTCTTTTGAGGGTAGCGTTCTCAGCAATATTTACGTACTTGCGGAACTGAGCAGGATATTTTTAAACAATCTACATTAAAAGTCTTATTTCTACTACATATTTCAACACCAGAAAACTGAAACAAATTTGATTGAAGACAAATTCAGTGATGTCGCATGACGATTGACTTATAGAACGGCATAAATGAGCTTCTAATTGTGGTACTCAGTAATTTTTACATCATCCTTTTTATCCGCGATCCTCTTTTCTCCCTTGCCTTTCGCTTTTCAATTTATACTTTTTAGCAACTCTGTAGGGGTACTAGTGACTTCTATTTACATCAAACATTGAATTAACGACACATTTTGATGTATACATGTAAATTATCGTCATTTTATTGTACTGAATAAGAATGAGCTACTTCTTTTGATTGAAAGGATAATCAGCCAGCAAATAACTTATACAATACGTGTAACATTTGTGTGATCATAAAGATGTGTCCATGTCATATTGAGACATCCGAGAAGTTTTATTAGTTGCTGGGTATTACAGCACATGCTAATATCATTTGTATCATTATCTTCACTATTTTTACACGGACAAGTGATGAACTTTAAAGATGGGATCATGTTTCTATCAGTCGTCGCGCATCGTTTGTTGAATGTTAGTCGCTGCCTTTCTTTCCCTTGTTATATTCTTCATGTAACATTCATTCGATTTCTTCAACAAACTATACATTCTCTTTTTCAATGACCTTAGGATGATATTACTCACAAGTTGCAATATTGATTAAAGACGCGATAAATCGCCATGCTCTTCTCTGCTAACTATATTTTTGAGACGTATTACATCGAACATTGATTTGCATACATATCAAGAAGAATTTGTTAAAAATATAGCGTTACTCTTTATGTCTCAATCAATAATCCGGCAGATAAAAAATGTAGAAATGTGCAGATTCTATTTATCTAAACACTACACCCATATTTGACACTCGAGTCTCAATCGTTTCTATGATTCTGAGAGATAGGTAACGCTAATTATGAAGCCATTCTTTTGAAAGTGCATTTGGCTATTTGTGACTCGCTAAAATTATTACTTTATCTGTTCTAATTCTAGACTATATAAAATTAATATTATTAACAATTTATTATTATGGCAACAAACACCGCCGAGTCACAAGAATCATGTAAGCAATAAAAAAAACTAGTTGGCTGGAGATATTCTGATCTGATTTTGATCATTACATTAAGTTGCTTCTCTGTCGATTGGCATTCATGCAAATACTATCAAATATCTTTTGAGCAAATGTACTCAGTTTGAATGCTATTTTTGCAACATAATAGAGTCCTGCAGGTCAACCTTGTCCTACCCTACCCTACCCTGCCCTGCAGGGCAGGGCAGGGTAAGGTTACAAAAACAAAATATTTAGGGTATAAGTAGGGTGTAGCTCATACAAATAAAATTTTTCTAGAGTAGAACTTAATATATATTTTTGACATCTTTTTGATCAAAAACAGTGTAAAGAGTGATATCATAATCTAAATCGAATGGATAGAATAAAAACGAACGGAAAACAATGGCCTATTGTTTAGTACTATTTTATACATGAGCTGACGAGTTCAGTCACTTTTGATTATTTGTCGAGTAAATGTGCATGTAAATGTAATAAAAAATGTGTTCGAAATCATCTCGACATGAACGTATTTTTAGTACAAACGGGCGAGTTTTGGAAGAGAGAAGGCAAAATTTAAGTGGTGATGTTGTGAATGATATTTTATTTTTAAGCAACTTTCGAAAAATTTATTAATTTTGTATTTGATTCTCGTTGAAAATCAATAAATTATATTGAAACAAAGTGAAGAAAAACTTCATGCTGACTTTTACTTGGACCTGAAACTCAAATGATATGATAGGGTGTAAAATGAAAAATCTCTGTGATAGGGTAGGGTAAGGGTACAGAGCCCGTAGGGCAGGGTAGGGCAAGGTTACGAAGCTATAGGGCAGGGTAGGGCTAGGGTAAGAACGTCGTAGGGCAGGGTAGGACAAGGGTACGAAGTTTTACTATAGGGCAGGGTTAGGGTACAAAAAAGTCTTAACCTGCAGGACTCTACAACAGAATAAACCGCGCGTAGCATAAAATTGTATTGGATTTGAAATTGTAAAATTCGAGATATTTTTCTAATGTATATGAGTCAAACAGTAACTTGCGTTTATTTAGTGCATAAATTCTAGACTTTCAAATCTTAAAAGTATTTTATTATTTGACTCAATAGTAGTTTTATATTTTAATCTATCGTAGTCATTTTTTTAATGATTATTGAGCTTTCTTCAATAAAGAAATTGATTGTAACTTGAATCTGTATTGTATAAAGATTGAATTATGAAATTTTTTCAAATCAAGTAACAAATTGTTAAAGTCTATCATTTATTATTCTGTTTAAGCATGTAGACTGCTATAGATGTAATGAATAACACAGAGAGTGAAAATAGTGGAAAGTTTCTAAATATTTTCCCGTTTCTGTGCATAATAAACAATATCTCATAATACATGAGGATACATTTTCTATGATGTTTTTTTTATACTTCTTATCGTATCGATGTAGTCGATAAAAATTTTCGCAGTATATATATCCAAGAAAGGCCTTTTTATTTTCTAAATTTTCACTTTTCTACATGAAATTAGTGATGAAACACGTACACGAGATTCACACAAGCAAATTTTTATAGTTGACTTTCCTGCCATCTCTATTTCTTGAGCAGCGATATCTCGAGGCATTTGAGAAAACAAAAATTTGGAACATGGGTTTTTTCAATCACGTGAATTAGAATAAAATTTTGAATATGCGCATGCTCCCATTGCTTTTTATTATTGACTGTACTTGATAAAGTATTTTTCTGTATGATTTTTCACATCTTGGTTTCGACAATCTTTCCAAACTTTTATGGACTTTTCTTTTAATGTTAAAAATATTTTGAAAAACATTCCAGGAACATATTCATTCAGGATGCCAAACAAATTTTCTGTTTTTTACACTAGAGGCCCGTCATTCGAGAAAAATCTGCGACAGAGTTGAAATTCGAAAAAGTTTTTATCGTTTCGCTACATATGATTCCGCTTATGTTTCAACATACTAAACAAATAAATTCAATCATAGTTATACTTATGGAATGAGTAAACATCCATTTATTACTATCGCATTTTTTCGAGTATTTATGAATGTATCGCATCAGTATATGAAAACTAATCATGAATAAGTTCGCATTGTTACGAAAAATAATTCATATTTATCATGATACTAATAATTAAGAAAAATGTGCAGCATATAGTATTAATTTGTGTAAAGATAATCATAGGAACACAAAGAAAGAAAGACCCCAATTTATTTTATAACACTTTTGTACAATAAGTAGTTTTATATCGCTTTATCTCTCTCCTTCGTCCATTGCCAACAGGAATTGTCATTTGAAGAGTGATTTCAACAATTAAAGAAACCAAGCGATTTGAAAACAGTAGAAACAGTTTTTTTTTCACATCTCAGCTTTTGAAATCTCTGCCCTATACAACGGATAAAACTGAAATTTCTAACAAATCTATCGCGACTTCTATTAAATGTGTTCAGAAGTTATAATGGTGCAAATTAAAGTAAGCGACCATATAAGATGTACTAAAAGCATGCTTTTCTTTGATCTTAATTTTTATCGTTTCACTCTTTTCCGTTGAGCACTATGTACATTCAAACATTTCATCAAAGAAAAATTAATCAAAGCCTCTCATGCAGTTTCGTTCTCATAGTTCTTTCCGCTTTCAATGAACCAGTTAAGGAATGATGTATGAATTGGTGTGCAACACTATATCAATAGTTTTCGCTGCAATTTTTAAGAACCGTTGTTTTCAGTTTTTACTACCAAAACGAAAGCTCGAACTATTGAACTTTAAATCATATATTAAGATATTTTCCAGCACTATCTACTAACTCTTAATCGTCATGAAATAGTTATCCTGGAAACTTTGCAACTACTACTTTAAATTGTTAGATATGTAAGATGACATTTTTTTATTAGGATCTTCTAGATTTTATGGATTACTGCTCTTCTACGGGCTAATAGTAATCATTAGTATTTCTCTCGCCATTCCCATGGGAAAAAATTCAAAAAAAGAACGGATAAGACCGCGTTGTCGACATAAAAGGCTGCGTTGTGAAGACGCTTTTTTCGACCTTTTCAGATGCGTTTGTGTAATGAAAAGCACGTTCTTTAAAATAAAAGGAACGCGTTCTTATTTAGAGCAAAAGAATTTATTTATTTATTGCATTTCCAACTCTGTAATGTTCTCGAACGTGTTCCTTTGCTATTCGTATAAGTTCTCAGACTGCTGGTTCCTCTATTCGAATACTTGCTTTCGCACTGAACGCGTTCCAATCCGTTTTGTTTTTACTACCGTTGAGTGGATTCGACCAGATAAACTTGTAGTTTCGAAGTAGTGAATAGCCGAATGAACTATGCTTACGTATGTTTGAAGTGCTAAATTTTCTATTTGTATTAACCAAAAGTTATTCTGACTTAACGAAAATTATACTTAAGACTGATCGAATTATGTTTACAAAAAATAAATTTAAAGAACATTCATTTTTTTAAAATAAAATATTGAAAATTTAACTTTTTACTAATTTTTGACATTCAATAAAAGTTTTCTAATCTAGCTTCTATTAATAAAAATTCAATACAAAGCTGTTCAAACTCAATTAAAATTCATATAATTAGACTTAAATATTTCGTATGCGGTGTAAGTTCATTTACTGTGGTTTTTATCGAATTTAAGTCTAATTAAATTGGTTTAAATTGAATTCACATTATACAATCGATTTGAGTAAATATAACATTTTTGATAATGTTAAAAATTTAAATTCATTATAAATTTATATCGACAAAAGCTAAATTTAATAGAACTTAATTAGAAATCGATGGACAATTCTGATTTTTATTATGAGCAAAGCTACTAAGTGATGCGTTCGATGGCAAATAAAAATGTGATGAATACATTTGAGACAGACACTAGTATAACTTTTACAAAATTTCTGTTAAATGATCACTTTGCCTGACAAGACATTACCTTTCAGTGCATTGCAACAGAAAGAAATTTATTCATGTTGACACATATTTCTTAATTGGCATAGCACTTTCGTTACATTTATTTCGATATATTTCAAGTAATGAATTCCATTAAATTAAAATGAGTACTTTTCACTACATAAAAGAACGCGTTCTGAAAGTTCCCGAACAAGTTCTTCAGTATACGTTTTCAAGCGTTTTTGTAGAAACGGGTTGTCTAACTATAAGAATGAATTACTCGCGGACAAGTTCAAACGCATATAAGTTGAAAGCGTTCGTACAATAAAAGACGCCTCCACTATTAACGCGTTCAATATAATAAAAACGCGTTGCTTGCCAAAAAGTATGCGTTCGAACGCGTTCACAATTTTGAGAAACGCATCTGAACGCGTCTTTAGTCGATAAAATACGTGCAATTTTTTCGTAAACGCGTTCTTTCACGTTCATTATAAGAAATATTTTTCCATGGGTTGACTAAATATTAACAGTATTACAAAACAAAAATGTTAAAATGACGCTGATAATTTATCTTCAGCTATTACTCAACTTCCTTTACATGTCATACGCGTATGTGACTTTAATGACAACGCAAAAACATCACTAAAAACATAAAAACTTACCTAAGTCGACTAAGATTAATGTTATTTCAAACACACAAATATTGAGAAAAAATTTTCTAACGTCAAAATAAAAGCTTCCAAAATGTTAGCGAAACAGAATTTAACATTTGAAAATATTGACTCATCGACATCGATGCATTAAAAATCGATCGGATCCTCCTAAGTGAAGTTATTGGATTTTTATCAGCAGTACTGAACAAAGTTGGTCGACATATATACAAAAAGATGTTCTATTTTATATAATAATTCTTCTTGCTTACGAACAGTTGACCAGACTCTTCCAATTTATTATCCAGATTATTGTTTTGAATAAATTGACACCCTCTATTTTCCTTGTCTTCACAATAGTATTGTTATAAAAAAAAACGACTTAATGGAACATTTTTTTTATATCGTAGCTAAAATTATGTGTTCCAATTGTAACTCAATTCAGGCTAAATTCTGGTGTAAGAAATGTGAAAAAAATTATTGCTCGCAGTGTTTTGAGTTGGATCATGGTACGTCTAGTTTGAAAATACACATATCGATACCAATTGATCAGAGGCCAGTAATATTTGCTTCGTGCAATCAACATCCTGGCGAGAAGCTGAAATTTTGGTGCAACTCTTGTCGCATACTTGTTTGTTCAGAATGTATAATACTTCAACATCAATCTCATGCATATAATAAAATAGAGATCGAAGCATCCAACAAAACAAAAGAGGTCAGACTTAGATTCTATTTTTAATAGTCTCATAAAGAACATTTCTCTTTACTATATAGCAACAAGATTGGTTTATGAAAACGAAATCAATTTTGGATCAGCTAATGAAATATACGACAGAGTTAATGACTGTTAATGAAAATCCTACCATAGAAAAGATTACAAAAACGTTCAAGTCCTTACGTGCGATACTTACGAAGCATGAGAACGAGCTGAAAGAAAAGATTTGTACTATTGAAAAACGAAATAAAGATCTTGTTGAAATTTTCCAAAATGAACTGAGACGCAAACAAGAAGAGCTAAGCAAACGGAATAAAGACTTTGAAGGTATTATTTCGGTCAAAGATTATACAAAATTATTACAAGATCATCAAAATTCAGTCAATTATTTAATGATGACCACACAAGAATTAAGCGCACATAAATATCCTTTAACAACAAAATATCGTATTGACGAAATACAAGAGTTGCAACGAACTGTTGCTGATACTACTCAGCGAGTGCACATCTATGAATGGCAAGAGGGTAATGTGAAATGTATAATATCTGATATGTCTGTAACAGAGAAAGTGAACATTCATTTTTTTCAAGTTTTCAAATTCGATCAAGATTCCGTTTTATTTATCAGTGTTACAGAAAAAACTTGTTTTCTCGCTCACTATCATTTGGAAAATTATAGTTATTCCATAGTGTGGCTTATTCTTTGTTGAGAATTGACAGTGCTAGTTCACTTGATTTCTGAGTATTGCTACGTAGGATATCTAACAAGAAGATTAGCTTCAACTAATTTTCAAATGGAGTATGGTCAACTCTACATGACCCAATTATTGGATCAAATTCACATCGATTCAAATACAGCCAGAATCGCCGGAAAAAACACATAGATAGCATCTACAGTAAATCCATACAATAATAACTCGAATATTGACAAATGACATAATAGATGCTGAATTGAGACTTTTATTTTGAGAAAACAAAGTATAATGTAGAAATTTGTAAATGCCGTATACCATAATATGGCGATTTTCTAAAAAGAAAATTCGCAAACATATGAAGCACCAGTGTATTCATATCAGAAATATAACCAACAGTAAATTATGTAGTGAAACACATTATCATTAGTTATCTGCTGGATTTGTGATCAGATATTTGAAAAAAGCGTTTTCAATCGATATTAGCCATTACACTGTGTCTTTTTGTTATTTACAGTCTGATATTCATACAATAAGAATAAAGGTCGCAAACATCATCTTCAAGATAAAAATCCTGAATCCAAATAAAAATTATGAAATAGTTACTGTGTTGCACTAAAATTTGTTTTTGCCCGTTGCACATATAATTCCAGCTTTTATATTAATGAAAGATTTCAAGCTCAAATGAAGAGGAGAATAGATAATGCCGTTTATGATAATGAGGAGATTCACTAAACTCTATAAAATTCACTTGAGTAAAAGAAAGTCCTATATTTAGCATCCTCTGCAAGTTGCAATGAGATACATACAACTACTAACTTGACAAATAAAGGTGCTGTTTATATGAAAAGGAAAGTTCTTTTTAGATTTATAAGAATTAAAAATAAGTAGAGATGAATTAACAAGG